AAAGTAGAACTTGATGAGGTAACTGTACCTGCTCCCTTATTGGAAAGTAGTTCATCACAGAAATCTGTTCCTGTGACTACTACACCAATTAGTGAGGAAGCTAATGATGATGATCATGTAACTTCAGATCAAGTTACTACCGAACCTCATAGGTAAACCAGAGTGAGATCCGCACCAGAGTGGTACGGTAATCCTGTTCTGGAGGTCATGTTACTTGACCATGACGAACCTACGAACTATGAGGAAGCGATGATGAGCCCAGATTCCGCAAAATGGCTTGAGGCCATGAAATCTGAGATGAGATCCATGTATAAGAACAAAGTATGGACTTTGATTGACTTGCCCAAAGATCGGCGAGCCATTGAGATTAAATGGATCTTCAAGAGGAAGACGGACGCTGATAGTAGTGTTACTATCTACAAAGCTAGAATTGCCGCAAAAAGGTTTTCGACAAGTTCAAGGTGTTGACTACGATGAGATTTTCTCACTCGTATCTATGCTTAAGTCTGTCCGAATCATGTTAGCAATTGCCACATTTTATGAAATCTGGCAAATGGATAAACAAAACTGCATTCCTTAATAGGATTTATTAAAGAAGAGTTGTATATGATGCAACCAGAAGGTTTTGTCGATCCTAAAGGTACTAAAAAAATATGCAAGCTCCAGCGATCCATCTATGGACTGGTGCAAGCATCTCGGAGTTGGAATATACGCTTTGATAAGTTGATCAAAGCATATAGTTTTACACAGACTTGCGATGAAGCCTGTATTTACAAGAAAGTGAGTGGGAGCACTACAACATTTCTGATAAGTATATGTATGACATATTGTTGATCGGAGATGATGTAGAATTATTCTGCAAAGCATAAAGGAATGTTTGAAAGGAGTTTTTTCAAAGAAAGACCTCGGTGAAGCTGATTACATATTGAGCATCAAGATCTATAGAGATAGATCAGGACGCTTGATCAGTTTTTCAATGAGTACATACCTTGACAAGATTTTGAAGTAGTTCAAAATGGAACAGTCAAAGAAGGAGTTCTTGCCTGTGTTACAAGGTGTGAAGTTGAGTAAGACTCAAAACCCGACCACGGCAGAAGATAGAGAGAGAATGAAAGTCATTCTCTATGCCTCAGCCATAGGTTCTATAAAGTATGCCATGCTGTGTACCAGACCTATTGTATACCCTTCCCTGAGTTTGGCAAAGGAGTACAATAGTGATCTAGGAGTAGATCACTGGACATTGGTCAAAATTATCCTTAGTGGAATAAGGATATGTTTCTCGATTATGGAAGTGACAAAAGGTTCGTCGTAAAGGGTTACATCGATGAAAATTTTGACACTGATTCAGATGACTCTAAATCTCAATCTGGATACATATTGAAAGTGGGAGCAATTAGCTAGAGTAGCTCTATGCAGAGCATTGTTGACATAGAAATTTGCAAAATACTTACGGATCTGAATGTGGCAGACCCGTTGACTAAACTTCTCTTACAAGCAAAACATGATCACACCTCAGTACTCTTTGGGTGTTAATCACATAGCGATGTGAACTAGATTATTGACTCTAGTAAACCCTTTGGGTGTTGGTCACATGTCGATGTGAACTATGGGTGTTAATCACATGGTGATGTGAACTATTGGTATTAAATCACATGGCGATGTGAACTAGATTATTGACTCTAGTGCAAATGGGAGACTGAAGGAAATATGCCCTAGAGGCAATAATAAAGTTATTATTTATTTCCTTATATCATGATAAATGTTTATTATTCATGCTAGAATTGTATTAACCGGAAACATAATACATGTGTGAATACATAGACAAACAGAGTGTCACTAGTATGCCTCTACTTGACTAGCTCGTTGATCAAAGATGGTTATGTTTCCTAACCATAGACATGAGTTGTCATTTGATTAACAGGATCACATCATTAGGAGAATGATGTGATTGACTTGAGCCATTCCATTAGCTTAGCATATGATCGTTTAGTTTGTTGCTATTGCTTTCTTCATGACTTATACATGTTCCTATGACTATGAGATTATGCAACTCCCGTTTACCGGAGGAACACTTTGTGTGCTACCAAACGTCACAACGTAACTGGGTGATTATAAAGTTGCTCTACAGGTGTCTCCGAAGGTACTTGTTGGGTTGGCGTATTTCGAGATTAGGATTTGTCACTCCGATTGTCGGAGAGGTATCTCTGGGCCCTCTCGGTAATGCACATCACTTAAGCCTTGCAAGCATTGCAACTAATAAGTTAGTTGCGGGATGATGTATTACAGAACGAGTAAAGAGACTTGCCGGTAACGAGATTGAACTAGGTATTGAGATACCAACGATCGAATCTCGGGCAAGTAACATACCGATGACAAAGGGAACAACGTATGTTGTTATGCGGTCTGACCGATAAAGATCTTCATAGAATATGTAGGAGCCAATATGAGCATCCAGGTTCCGCTATTGGTTATTGACTGGAGACGTGTCTCGGTCATGTCTACATAGTTCTCGAACCCGTAGGGTCCGCACACTTAAAGTTCGGTGACGATCGTAATTAGGGTTTTTGTGTTTTGATGTACCGAAGGTTGTTCAGAGTCCCGGATGTGATCACGGACATGACGAGGAGTCTCAAAATGGCCGAGACATAAATATTGATATATTGGAAGCCTATATTTGGATATCAGAAATGTTCCGGGTGAAATCGGGATTTTACCGGAGTACCGGGGGGTTATAGGAACCCCCCGGGGGTTATTGGGCCTACATGGGCCATAAGGGAGAAGAGGGGGGCCGGCCAGGGCAGGCCGCGCGCCCCCTCCCCCCTAGTCCGAATAGGACAAGGAAGGGGGGGGGGCGGCGCCCCCTTTCCTCTTTCTCCCTTCCCCCTTCCTTTTCTAACAAGGCAAGAGCAGGGAGTCCTACTCCCGGTGGGAGTAGGACTCCTCCAAGCGCACCCCTAGGGCCGGCCGCACCTCCCCCTCTCCCTCCTTTATATACGGGGGCAAGGGGGCACCCCATGACACAAGTTGATCTTCGTGATCGTTCCTTAGCCGTGTGCGGTGCCCCCTTCCACCATATTCCACCTCGGTCATATCGTAGCGGTGCTTAGGCGAAGCCCTGCATCGGTAGAACATCATCACTGTCATCACGCCGTCGTGCTGACGAAACTCCCCCTCAACGTTTTGCTGGATCGGAGCTCGAGGGACGTCACCGAGTTGAACGTGTGCAGAACTCGGAGGTGCCGTACGTTCGGTACTTGGATCGGTTGGATCGGGAAGACGTACGACTACTTCCTCTATGTTGTGTCAACGCTTCCGTTGCCGGTCTACGAGGGTACGTAGACAACACTCTCCCCTCTCGTTGCTATGCATCACCATGATCTTGCGTGTGCGTAGGAACTTTTTTGAAATTACTACGTTCCCCAACATCAAGTAATGCACGGATGTGCGGGCGGAGACGACGCATGGTGGAGCATGGTTGCAGTCGGACAAGGTCGGCTGGGTTGAACTAGTTAGTCTGACGGATCGTCAGGGATGTCGGTTGGACAGAAGACGGCGATGATTTCAGCGAAGACGACATAGGGGTGTGATGCTAATGGTGGCCGACTTCTGGGGCATGGAAACACGTGGTGCAGGCCTGAGGGCTTGTGGAGCTTCGACAGACTATGGCGCAGGGTTGATTCAAGACAGTGCGCAGAAGGGAACTTGAAGTCAACAGGGCGCAGGGTGGCACAACCAGCTACATGGAGTCATGTTGAAGGTGGAGCTGAAGTCTGATGGACGACTTCACTCTGTGCTGATGGAGGGGCTACGATGTAAGATCGGAGAATCAAAGACTATTTCAGCAGGATAGTGAGAGACACGTGGATCGGACTGGGGCCCAATGGTCTGATGGAGACGTGATACTCGGCATCGGTCGGTGATGATCGATGGTTCTCTGCAGTGGGGGTTGAGGCAGTGGGGGCTAGCTACCCAGGAGACTCGACCAGGACAGCAGAGGCTCGACGCGGTGATATCGACGAGGCGCGGGTAAGCACGAGACACAACGACAGACCAAGACACTAAATTGTTTAGGGTGCTGAAGCAGTGTTGACGAGTATCGGATTCAAGTGGGTGACTGGGTCTGTCGGTGCCGGAAGATGGACAAGAGTTGAGCATAGAGAATCTGAGAAAAGTGACGGAAAGTCCTAAAGTCAAAAGCTGAGAGAGTGCATGGCTGTATATTATGTGATATTCAATGCACATGACAAAGTGCGGATGACAAGTACAGAAGGAGGCGGAGTGCTATAGCGGTGGCAGATGTCAAAGACTATTCGGGAAAAGGATGAGAAAACTACGAATTTGACTGAGGATAACATAGAAAAAGCGATGATGTTGAGTACAGGTAACTCTTATATGTAGCTTCCAATATGTAAGTTGTTCACTTTCACGCAAACAGTAGTCATGTGTGATGGCCTGGAGCGGACACTCCAGGAGTTAAGAGCACAAAATAGAGTAATGAGGAACTTAAATCCGAGTTCCTGTGCTATTATGTTGGCATAGGTTACATCATGTGTCTATCCTCTCATTATATAAGAGGTCTAGGATACAAATGTCCTATTTGGACATGATTGTATATCCTATCTACACACCGTATGACTCTAAGTCCAACTGTAAGCTACCTTGTATAGTAATATTCGACATAATTCTAACATTTTTTAATATATTTTTTTAAATATTTTGGGATATTACTGTTTATACAGGAGCATTTGACGTGGAGTATGTGCGTCACCATGGTGGACTCTCATGCCACGGGCTAATTCAAAGCCCTTGCCTTTTTGCGGGGAAATGAACGAGCAGTAGAATTTAATAATAACCAGTAAAACATGCCGGGGTCATCACGCATGTGACGCTCGCGAGAAGATGGTTTTTCTTGCCACCCGTCTCCGTCGTTCACCTGCCTCTAAATTCGGCTGCACCCCGCCTCAGAATTCACCGGCAAACAGAAGCGCTCCACCATCACCATGTCACTCTTGACCACAGCCACTTTCATGGCCCTTGCCTGCTTGTGCTTCGCCCCTGCACCTGCAGTGGGTGCAGCGGCGACTCTCTCGGCGTGGCGTCCGCTGCGAGGCAACCACACGATGGTCTCGGCACAGGGCAAGTTCGAGCTCGCTCTGTTCAGCCCTGCTGGCAGCTCCGGAGACAGGTTCTACCTCGGGATCTGGTACAAGAAAATCCCCGGCCAGACCATCATCTGGGTGGGCAACCGCGCGAGTCCGCTATCTGCTGTCACCTCCGCCGAGTTCCGTGTCTCCGCTGACGACGGCAACCTCGAGCTCGTCGGCCCCGCCGCCGCCTCCACCTCGCCGGTCGTCGTGTGGTCTTCGAACCTGTCGTTTGCCTTGTCGCCGGGCTCAAACAACACGGCGGAGATCCACGACAACGACAACCTGGTCCTTGTCGACGGCCGCAACTCCTCCAACGTGCTGTGGCAGAGCTTCGACCACCCGACGGACACGCTGGTGCCGGAAGCGTGGATCGGGGAAAACAAGCTCACCGGCGAGTACCAGGCGCTCACATCGTGGCGGAACGCCCAAGACCCCGCGCCGGGGATCTTCAGTGAGACGCTGGACCCGAAAGGCGCTAGCGAGGTCTTCTACATGTGGAACCGGTCCCGCGTGTACTGGCGGACCGGCCAAGCCTTCGCGAAGCTGCCGGAGGCGACCAAAAACACCATCTACAATGGGACGTACGTCGAGACGCCGGCATACCGGCGCGTCATCAACGTGCTCTACGACAATGCAACCATAACACGCAGCGTGCTCGATCCCACCGGTCAGGCACAAATGTACATTTGGATGCCCACGAGCCGGAGCTGGCAGCTCTTGTGGACCGGTCCCATGTTGCAGTGCGACGTGTACGCGCTCTGCGGCGCATTCGGCGTTTGCGACGAGGGAGGCAAGCTACCTTGCCACTGTCCGCCCGGATTTGCCCCGGTGACGGAGGGGGACTGGACGCTCAACGATTGGAGCGGTGGGTGCTGCCGGAGCTCACCGCTCAGGTGCGCGCACAACGGATCAAGGACGGGCGGGTTCGTGATGCTGCCAGACATGAAACTTCCACATGACTCGCTCACCGTGGGCGTTGCCCAGAGCAAAGTAGAGTGCGAATCGGCTTGCTTAAAGAGCTGCTCTTGCCAGGCCTACGCCTTCTCTGCCGGGGAGTGCATCGTCTGGTACGGAGAGCTCCGCAACCTTCAGCAGCTCTACTTGGAATATGACAGCCCCGGGTCTAACCTATACCTTCGGCTTTCAGAAAGAGGATTGCAAGATCTCCATAGCGTAGACAGGGAGAAAATGGGAAGAAAGTTATGGTTTGTCCTTGGCATCATATTGGCTGGTGTTGTAGCAGTGGGGGCATCGGTGTTACTAGGCTGGAGGATTGTTCGTACCCGAAGGAGACTAGTCAGTATGGCAAATGAGAATGTATCCTCCTTGGCCGTGTACAGTTACGGCGACCTCCATGCCGCCACGAAGGACTTCTCGGAGCGGCTGGGCCGCGGTAGCTTCGGCTCGGTGTACCGCGGTGTTCTGAACCGGCATAAGGGAGACAACTCAATCAGAGTCCAGGTGGCAGTGAAGAAGCTTGAAAGTCTTGGGCGGCAAGGCGACAAGCAATTCCGGACGGAGGTGAGCACACTGGGCTGTATCCAGCACGTGAACCTCGTACGGCTCCTCGGGTTCTGCTCGTCGGACGACGATAAGATGCTTGTCTACGAGTACGCCCAGAGGCTCCCTCGACGGCCTCCTCTTCCGTGACGGTGCGTGCATGGGCTGGCGCGACCGGTACTGCATCATGCTCGGTGTGGCTAGAGGGCTGGCCTACCTGCACCATGGCTGCCGCGACTGCATCATACACTGCGACATCAAGCCGGAGAACATCTTGCTGGACGAGGACATGTCCCCGAGGATCGCCGACTTTGGGATGGCGAAGCTGGTGGCGAGGGACTTCAGCCGCGCGCTGACGAGCATGCGGGGCACCATCGGGTACCTGGCACCGGAGTGGATCTCTGGGCAGCCTATCAGTGCTAAGGCCGACGTGTACAGCTTTGGCATGGTGCTCTTCGAGCTCATCTCGGGACGACGTAACTCCAAAGGGTACAGCGAGCTGGAGGCGGCAGGGACTGGTGGGAGTGAGTCCTCCTTGACCTTCTTCCCAGTGTGGGCCGCTGCGAAGGTTTTGGAAGGTGAGGTGGGCGCCGTGGCTGACCTGCGGTTGCGCGGCGATGCGATGCCGAAGGAGCTGGAGCGGGCGTGCAGGGTGGCATGCTGGTGCATCCAGGACGAGGAGGCGCAGCGCCCAACCATGGCGCAGGTCGTGCAGGCGCTGGAAGGCGTCGTCCACAACCAAGCGCCGCCGGTGCCACGAACGCTGGAGCACCTTGTCACCCTCGTGTAATTCTCACGTCGCGGGAATCTTTTTGACTAATGAAATAATTTTTTAACAAGACAACTGTACGCGCGTACACGTCGACTGCCGACGAAATTACTGGAGTAGTTTCGAATTTTGACGCTCCATGGTTTTATAATATCTTTTTTGCAATTATTTAAAGATAGCTGCCTTGTATAACAAAAACCATAGCAAAAATGCCTAATGAAGACCGAGCTCCATGGAGGCCTTAATTTAAAAACTTTAAATTCAATTTTTGTAGTTTCAAAAAATTATGAAAAAATACACATATATCTAGAGACATAATGTACATTTGTGTGAATTTTCACGTCGAGACGTGTTAAAATGAGAGCTACAAAAAAGGAAAAATATGTGTCTTGTTAGCATATGTATTGTTCATCCTAAAAGTCCATGATTTTTTTTGTGTAGCTCGCAATTCAAAATATTTCATCCTAAAACTTTACACATATACACATTACATCCGTGTGAACATGGGTATTGTTTAAAAAAAAATTGGAAGCGAAAGTTTGAATTTGGATATTTCTTTCAAAATTAAGGCCTCCATGGAGCTTGGACTCCAAAGTGCCATACTCAAACCACAGTGTCTTACAAACTCTACCAGCAGAAAATAAAGCATGACATGTAAGCTAGACACCTAGAGCGAACAGGTGAACTCATGATTTTTGTGCACCATTGATTCGAACCGTCAAGCATCACAAGACGAGCATTCACACTACAGGAATCACTGGCTATGCCGTCGGCTAAGCGGTCAGCAAAGGGCCGATCCCCGTCGGCATAGATAGCGTTGGCTGACCTCCCGTGCCCATTAGCATAGTAATGCCGTCGGCATGGAAGTGGAGGACAATTTTCACCCGTTCGTGAGATGCCAGTTTGGACGCGACCTTTACTTGTCCATGGCAGAAGTGTGGAGTCTACCTGCTCTAAGTTCGTTTCAACACAGTGGGAAGGAGTGGCTGCTTCATGCACTTGGTGAGCTGAGTGATATTCAGAGATGCATGGTATTATTAATTTTCTGGAGAAGCTGGTATATTCGAAACGAAGTAACACATTCTAAACCTGCCCCGCCCATGGCTGTCTCTATAAGCTTTTTGCAAAATTATTTGGATACACTTCTTGGTATCAAGCTCAACTCCCACTGTGACCCAGCCAAAGGAAAGTGCAGTATTTATTTTCTCACTGCCACACCTCTTGTTAAGGCTCCAGTTCGTGAATCTGAGTGGAGGCCGCCTCAACAAGGATGGGTTAAGCTAAATACGGATGGTTCCTATTCTTCTGGTGGTGGTACGGGTGCCGGGATGATCTTGCGTGATGTTGCGGGTTCGGTCATCTTCTCATCTTGCAGAGCCCTGTTCTCGTGCAGAGATGCTCTAGAGGCGGAGTTGTGTGCATGTATGGAAGAATTGTCTTTCGCACTTCAGCGTTCTGATCGTCCAATCGAAGTTGAGATGGACTCGAGTACGGCGGTGGCTATGATTTCCTGTGGCGAGGTGGATCGGTCGGTTTATGCTTCTATGGTTTGTGAAATTAAGTTACTATTGAGTCTTAGGCAATCTTGTATTACTCTTGTTTCTCCTTGTCAAAATAAAGCGAGTGATAGACTAGCTAGTTTTGTTAAAGTAGAGGGTCGAACAATTACGTGGGTCGGTTCGGGGCCCTGAGGATGTTTTGAAGTTTGTCCAAGAGGATTGTAAGGACCCGGTAATTGAATAATACAAGTATTATTCCGCAAAAAAAAAAGCATAGTAATGCCGTCGGCATATGGCTGCCACATGGCAGCAGCTGGTGTCCCCTGTGGCTTCTCCATGCCAATGGTATAACCGTCGGCATACCTGGGGCAGCTTGTGTCCCCTGTGACGACTATTCTTCTACTCCTAAAATTCAGTTAACATTTGATTAACTGAATTAAGTGTAAATTTAGTTAACATTTGGTTAATTGAATTCAGTGTAAATTCAGTTCGTGTGGAGTACATTTGGTTATCACCAGTGTAAATTCAGTTAACTCCTAAAATGAAAAATTAATACGCCTTATTTATAGACCTTCTATATATCTAGATGATGCATAGATCAGGACTATCCCATTTTCGAAAGTATGATCAATGGCTGCACTATGCGTGGATTACTGTGCTAGTTAGCTGAATGACAGGTGAGGCTAAGCTGATGGATGTTCAACTTTCAGATCAGACAAATACAATTAGTTGAAAGTTAACCATGAATGGAGTATTCTTTGTCAAATTCATGTATTTGGATTTAATTGATTCCGGGCCATTGTCGAGGTCTTTGCACATATCGAAGATTAAAGTTCCACTCCGCATCAAGATCTTTATGTGGTTTGTCCACAAAGGAGTCATCTTGACCAAAAATAATTTGTTGAAAAGGAATTGGGTCGGTCAATCTAGATGTTATTTTTGTGATCAAAACGAGACAATTAAACACCTCTTTCTCGAATGTCTACTTGCAAAACTGTTATGGCGATCCATTCATATAGCTTTTAACGTTAATCCTCCAATGAGTATCAACACGTTATTTGGGACGTGGCTTAATGGAGTAGACATACACACAGCTAAACATATTCGGATAGGAATATGTGCACTATTATGGGCTATATGGAACACTTGAAATGATATGATTTTTAATGGGACAAAATTCACTAATTTTTTGCAGGTTATCTACAGAGCTACAGTCTGAATCCGTATGTGGTTGTTACTCACTCATGCGGACTACAGGAAGATTATGGTTATTGGGTGCAGCCGATGGGAGACGGTAGCACGGGCTATCTTCAGCCAATTTGGATGGCGAGCTAATAATAGGCTAGCTATGTAGGCATCATAGCCTACTTTTTATAGCCGGATGTGGCGCTTTCTCGCCGGGTGTGGCATTTTACAGACTTGTTTATCTTTCTTACTCAGATTTGGAGTTTCTGTGAAACTTAAGACCTTGTTTTGATTTTAATAATATGGCTGCATGCATCGATTGATGCAGAGGCCGGAGGTAAGTCATCTTTTTTTTTAAAAAAAGGTCAGGCTAAGAGCATCTCCAGCCGCGCCTCCAACAGGCCCCCAGGCCACTTTTTCGGTGCCGGCGCCAAAAAAACGCCCTAGTCGCGCCCTCAGGAGGACGAAAAGAGCCGGTTTGGCCCTTTTTTCCGCCCGACGGCCGTAGGCCGAACCCGGCGCACTGGGGGGCGATCGGGGGCTCCGGCGCAAGGGAAAAGCGCGGCTGGGCCCACACCGTCAGGCGAAAAGCCAAGATTTTCTTCCCCGACCCGCCTTCCACCCCCCGCGCCCTCGGCCACCACTAGCTATATCCTAGCGCCGCCCGCCGCCCTTCACCGCTAGATAGCCATTCCCCGCCGGACAAATAGCAGAGGTTCGCCGCGGCAGCCCCTCCAACAACAGCTGGGCGTTTCCGGCCGCCGTTTCCGGCCGCAGAGGGGCAGTTCGGCGGGTGCACGCCCACCGGGCGCAATGTGTTCGACGATTTGCCTGCCTCGGCGATGGACTCGGATGACGAGGAAGCGCTCGCCGCGCTGCTGGAGGAGGAAGCCGAGACCGACGTCCAGGAAGAAGAGCATCTGATGGTGCTCGCCGCCCTCACCCAGCTGCTGGCGAGCAATGAAAAGCCGTGGCGAGGTGGCTCGGCACCGGGGTGGGTGAAAGCAAAAAAACGGCATCGTCTCAAAGGCTACTGCATGCTCTACTCTGACTACTTCGTCGATGCTCCACTTCACGGCGACAAAACATTTCGGCACCGTTATCGGATGAGCCGAAAGCTCTTCCTCAGGATTGTGAATTCCATCCGGGAGTTCGACAACTACTTCAAGCGCAAGATGGATTGCACCGGCAAACTTGGATTCACCTCGATCCAGAAGTGCATGACAGCGATGAGGATTCTTGCATATGAAGCTCCTGGTGATTCACTGGACGACTATGGGCACATGGCCGAGTCCACCAGCATGGAGTGTTTCTACAAGTTCTGTCGGGCAGTGGTGACAGTGTTTGGACTGCAATACTTGAGAACACCCAATGTGGAAGACACTGCCCGGATCCTAGCACAGAATGCATCAAGAGGATTTCCTGGGATGCTTGGAAGCATCGACTGCATGCATTGAAAATGGAAGAATTGCCCATTTGCTTGGCAGGGGATGTACAAAGGCGCCAAAGGCGGTTGCAGTGTGGTACTTGAGGCGGTGGACACACAGGACCTCTGGATTTGGCACTCCTTCTTTGGTATGCCAGGAACTCACAATGACATCAACGTGCTGCAGTGCTCTCTTGTCTTTGCCAAGCTTGTTGAAGGTCATTCTTCTCCGGTGAACTTCGAGATCAATGGGCGGCACTACAACAAGGGG